CCATGAGGGGAATGTTATGATGAAATTCATTGTCAATTACAGCCTTGACAGGATAGACGCATAAAAAACTGACGCCAATTTGTATGTATAGGTAATGATTTCGAGTGCAATTTGGATTTAATAAGTATTTAAAAGCACGAGTCTGTTGGGCAGTCTTCGAAAAATTTACGAGTACCAGGAGCCCATGTCATGGGCTCCTGCGAATACTTATTAACCGCACGGCCTAGACCGAGCAAGGTCGAGCGTGCTTGAAAATGAGAAACACCCTTTAGGGGTGGCGAATGGTCCTTCAAAAACCATGAGTCTCGCAAAATTTTCGCCGAATTTTACGGGTCTCGCAGTCTCGATTTTTTTCAAGGCTAAGAAAGTCGCGAAGTACAGATTTGTTTATTTTTTATTTTTTAGTAAAGTTAAATGACATCACAACATCTTAGAACCTGAACGTCTTGAGTTCGCATTTAAAACACTTTAAAGTCTCGGTCTCGCAATTGAAGAAATCAAAATGTCTCGGGCTCGCAAAGAAAAACGCGTATCTCGTCGTCTCGCAAAGTCTCGCATTTACCATTCGCCACCCCTCCCTTTTTCCCCTATTTCCGGCGGAAATGGAAAGAAAATTTAACAGCTGGTTTTTGAGCTTCTTGAGTTGTAATTTTATGACGGACTGGTCGCAAAGAGGCGGTGAAATGTGTAGGGGAATAACAAAATTAGCCGTTGTGGTATGTTGGGTTTTACATTTTTTTTTTTTGGTGTGATTTTTTGGGTGCTTTTTCTGAGCCAGCCTTTAAAGATTTACCCGATCACCGTGGTTTGCAAAAAGCGTAGATAACAAGAAAATTACAAATGTCAGTGTTCTTTAATCAACGAGCCCCCTTCACTTCTATGCAAGATTTCGTGGTGGAACTTGGTCACATCACCAAAGGTACTCTTTCCATTCGCATCGATTATTTTTCGATCAAGCAAAAATTACCAATTACTTACCAATTAGGCTACTCAGCCAATCTCAAACTGCAGTAAAACCAAAACCTAAACCGAGGTAATTGCCTCGCTTGAAGACCACTCTGTATAGAGGTTTTCAATTGGGTGTGGTAAAAACAAAACCAAAGTGATTTTTCTGACCAATCACAGGAACAATCCCGTGAACCAATCAAAACTTGAAACAAATACATGCAGCAACGCGAAGCGCGGGATGACACTCACGATTGGTTTTGGTTAAGAAAGTGGCGCGAGATTTTAACCCAATCACTAAGCGCAGGAATGCAAAACGAAAGTAATGTGAATTCCTTTCGATACTCAAGTGAAAACCGCTCGATAATGAAAGCATCCTCGAACCGAGGTCTCTTCTACGACGAGGCAGCTGCATCTACACCCCTAATGTACAAGAGCTCTGCGCTCATATCTGAGACATCTGCGAGACATGGGACTGAAATTTCATGAACAATCCTAAGAACTTGGAAACTATTTAGTATTACGATAAGATAATTGTACTGGGCTGTTGGACAAGAGCTATTGCGTGGATGGTTGGGAACAGGATATTGCCGATCCCGGAAATATCATGAGTCCTTTGAACTACTTTAGGATAAAAGCACTACTAAGGAATTTGATAGCCTTCAATTATATGATGAAAACAGCCACAACATGTACAAGTACATACACGAGGAAAACGTGGTACAGAAAATTCGTCAACATGCTTCAGATTTTGAATACAACTGCGTGTATGAGTAAAAAGTTTGAGTGCAAATCAGCAACAATTATAACTTATTATCCAACTGCAGCGAATACCGTCCAAATAACAGTACAAATGTACAGCGATATTGCAGTTATTTGTACAGTAGAAAACCTGTTTGCCGGACAAGTCGGCACGCGCACGCAAAACTGTCACACTCTCCCTCTTTCACTGATAAATTTATTGACTACAGCAGTTGGATAATAAATCCTTTATTAGATGTTTTGATATGTAGTATCGCTTTAAATTTTTACTCGTTGTTTCTATTTTGACTCACCCTACGGCCTCGACAAAATACGGCACAACTCGTAAAAATACACAGCGATACTACACACCCAAACATCCAATAAGATATATACATCTCAGACAGCTGTGAGTACCATGTATCTGACATGTTTGTTGCGGCATGAGAATAGCAATGCCTTTTGCGATACTTTTGGAGAAGTAGTTTCTCCATTTTTGTAAAAACACTTTGATCAGTTCAACGAGCACGGCTGCTGGATATTTTGGCGCCAGAAATGACACTGTTTCCCACGCGCATATAATATTTTCTCGTACTATAGGCTAAAGTTCTCTAATGACTAATCTAATGTAACAAATACCTGCAGTTCTTACCGAAAAAGCTGACAAACCTAAAACAATGTCCTCATTACAGTCGAAATTGACGGCTGCAAAAGTACTTCCTTGAAATTAAAACGCGACAAGCCTTGATAAAAACTTTGAATATTGTTCTATGTGATCACAAAAATGGCAACATCTCATGGTTACTTTGCCATCTACAAACAACTCTCTTTTTA